GACTTGAGGATCTAACTGGTCTTTTTCACTGTTGGTCTAATTTTGTACCTGTCTGTGCTTTTCCTGATAACGTTAAGGGATTTTTTGAATGAAGCAAGGTGGTGGAAATTTGTCCTGTTCTAGCTGCACAGCATTTTGTCAGCCTTGAAAGAAATCTGCATCCCTTAAATTTTTCTGAGACTCCCAAATCTAGTTTGAGAGAAATTCCATCCCCCTTCCCTTTTAGTAATCTGCCTCTTGCATGCACCATCCAAACATATTGGCAGAGCTCAGCAAATCGCATGATCCAGATTGGCTGCATCAGAGTAGAAGAGATTGGAGTCCTGTTTATTTGGTGCAGATATAATACTCATCTTCAGTCTGTTTAGTTATTAAGTTTACTTTTCTTTCTGTAACAACACTAGACATTCACTCCTTGCATGCCATTCTGATGAGGCTGACAGACTAAACAGGACTAACAGTGTTGTAAGGAATGAAGGTGAGTTCTTATTTAAGACTCTTTTTCTGCTTTGCATGAAGGCTAGGAGGTTTTGCATACAGTGTATCATGGAGCACTAAATAACTCTGCTATAATCCAGATTCTGTTAGGCCATTAACGAGATGGGTCATCCTTTCTTGCATTTTTTTTCTATCCTTGATGTAGTGCCAGTCCTATGCCTTGAGGTTTAGGAGCCTTTCCTATGGGTTTCTCTTCCCTTGTGGAGTGTTGGGACTCTTCCTAAAAACCTTGTTGAGGATGGAGATGACTAAATACAAGAGAATTTGGCAGAGTTGATAATATCTCTGAACTGAATTTCATTCTATTGATGCAAAAGTACCTGCTTCAAAACAGCATTATACATGTGGTAAGCAGTGGAGGCAGTAAAGGACCATTTCTGAATTGCCACAACTCTGATACGCATTAGTTGCATTCTGTTTCTGTCCTTTTTTAAGCACAAGAGTTGGTCAGTTGTATGCCTGTGTTCATTTAAAAGCTGTTACTCATTCAAAGACAGCTCTTTGGGATGGGGTGTGGGTTTTTTCTCCTTCAGGGGTTTATATACCCCTCCCCTCCCACGCCCAGTCATGTCCACAAGCTTAAGTGCACTGGCCACATCTTAGTTGTTCATGGATTTTATTTTCCTGCACAAATCCACAAATCCAGTGCCTTATTTGGGTGTCTTCCTGAGCACAGATGGACTGAACTAGATTAGACCAGGGGGTTCTGCAGGAACGGATGGAGGTGTATTTGCCGAGTGGGGAAAGATGCCTGAACAAGACTTGCACTATATCTATGTCTGGCTAGCATTGTTGCTCTGTCTTGCATTCATGAGCACCAGTTTTGCACTGTCACCGGAGCAATGTGACTAAAGGCCCTGTCACTGAGAAGTCACTTGCAGCCAAGGATGTTTGCACTCCTGTGTCCCTGGGATGTTCAGGACGCTGTGCTCAAGGGCTTCAGGAACACTTGAATCTTGTGGGAGTGGAATAAGAGGAAGTGGAAGTCACAAAGTGGGGACAGGGAGTGATTTAACTTGACCATATCTGCTGCAAGTTGATGCTGTAGTGATCCAACTGCAAAATGCCCTTGTGTGAGTACGGCGCTGTCTTGCCAGTGGCTGCAGCAAAGAGCATTACTGAGGTGCAATTTTTCCTCAGGCATCTGTGATCTGGAAACTCCTTGTTCCTAAGGCAGACTTAACATCGGAGCTGGTGCCAGTCAGGCCAGCTTCGGTCAGTGCCTCTTGAATCCCAGTGAGCTACTTGCTTATACTAAAGATCTAGATTGACAGACAATCATATGCCAGAACAGCCCATTAAAAGTTCTAAAAAGCTCTGAAATGGAGTGACTCTTCTGGGAACGAGATTCCCATGACAGGTGTCTTGGGTTTCAGTATGCTGCTGTCCTTCTAGCAAACCAAACATGTAAATCATGCCATTGTAGCATGCATTCCTCTAGTGCTTTATTGAAGTAGTCTGCTTGTGTGCCTATGCAGTGGGAGAGATGGTATTGTCTGTTTTTTACAAATGGGGAAACTGAGGCATGGAAGGGTGAAGTAAACTTGCCCATGGTTCTGCGGGAAGCCTGTGTTAGAGCCAATGTTCCCTCATAATTTTTTTCTATCCATGTGCGGAATAAACATTTATGTACACCAAGGCATGTACAGATGTGCACCACCAGTAGAAACCCATGCGGCTGGCTGTGGGCACTCTGCTGATCACTTGGGCAGTGTTTGAATCTCTCTTAGATGGCCATCCAAGTGCTTAGTTTACAGGGAATACTGGTGAGAGCTGGGAGTAGAACCATGTCTCCCAATCCTGAGCTTCTGCTATAAGATTTCTCTGCCTCCTCTCCTGGTACGTCAGTGCTCATGAGACTAGGGGTGCATTCATAGTCGTCTCATGATTCCCACCTCCTGTGCACTGTAGGCCGCACAAGTGATGTTTCAGGTGTTGCTTGGTTTCATCAGGCTGTTGCATCCGTCATTTGTTACCCCGCAACTCCAGGGCTGTCGTCTGCTTTACATCTGTGCTCCGTTTGACACGTGTTCACTCGGCAGATCCCATTGCCAGACAGAGTCAGCTGATTCGCAGACTTGAGGTTTCAATGCTTGGTGCCAGTTGTTTGGGTTGGGGGAGGGGAGATAAGATAAAATGGGGGAAGGTATAAGATTTTCTCCAGCTCTCAATGGACTAGCTGGACACTAGAGCAGTAGCATGCGCCATGATATCCGTTTCGTCAAACTTTGCAGGCGTGGTATTGAAGGATTGTAATGGCAGCTTGTGTGTTCTTTCCTCATTGCAGCCTGCGGACCGCAGCTTACCAATTCCCCCACTGTGATTGTTATGGTGGGCCTTCCAGCGCGGGGGAAGACCTACATCTCCAAGAAGCTGACTCGCTACCTCAACTGGATTGGTGTCCCAACAAAAGGTGAGGCCCTAGCCGGCCGTTCCTGCTAGAAGACACGTGCCCTGGTTCACTGGGGATGTGCCTGCGGAGTTAAACTCCAGTGGATTGAGCCTGACAGGATCTCCCTGTATCCATCTGGGGGAAGGATCCTAGAGAGGACCCTGACTGCGTGGTGGCTTCAGCCCAGCCACATCCTGTCTCCCAACCCTTCTGTTGACGCGTGACTCTACTCCGATGTTTGCTTTTCGCCAAGGAGCTGAGCCCATGTGGTTTGTTTATTGAAAGGGCTTCTTGCTGCAGCGTTCGGTGTATGAGGGATTTCCCAAAGGCTTTTTGCTCCACCTCTTCCAAGGGAGTATCTGGCTCTTGGATCTATTCCGAGAGTGGTGCTTGGCTGGATGCTCCTTGCAGTAGAGCAATTGGCTGCTGAGCCCTCCTACCATGTTTGACACCCTTACAGCTGGGATCCCTGGAGAATGCCGGCTGGAGATGCTATTTTTGTAGTCAGAGTGCTGAGAGAGGGGGAGAAGAGTTAACCCTTTTCCTGCCAATCTCTGGATGGGTTCTGTCCATACTTTTGTGCTCCTGGAGCCAGCTGAGCTGTATATGGGACATGCTTGCTGGCCCCTTTCCAATGCTGTACTCACTTCCTGCCTTCACCTTGCAGTTTTCAATGTGGGAGAGTATCGCCGGGAGGCGGTGAAGCATTACAGCTCCTATGACTTCTTCCGCCCCGACAACGAGGAGGCCATGAGAGTCCGGAAGTAAGTTTGCTGTTGCCTTATTCTGTTAATCCTCCCGTGTTCTGACCCAAAACCTGCTATAATTTGGGGGCAACCCTCCCCCCCTGAATTGAATGGGATTACTGTGGAGTCAGAGCAGTGTAATGGGAAGTGTAGTCTGACCTGGACTCTAGATTTCTCCTGGTGCCCTGCCTCCGCCCAGCTTCTCTCATTTGGTTTCCCATTCAGGGTTTAGGACCCGATCCTGAAAGGGATTTCAGCACTGATTCTGGGTGTTGGGGCCTGACTTTTTGAGAGGTGCTCAGGACCCATAAACCCATCTGGGTTGTGATGCCCATCTGCAAAATGGGCAAACTGAGGCTCACAGATGTGAAGCCGCTTTCTATGGCCTGGTGGTAAATGCCTGAATGGGGCTTTGGGCCGCACAGCTCTGGGCTGCCGAGCGGTGGATGTCCGTCCTTGCACGTACCAGGAATTGTGGGTTGTAGGACAAGTTGGGAGGAGTTGAAATTTTTAAGGCCTCTTCATTAGGACTGATATGCTGGCTCTTATAAGCATCTCTGGTTACTTAGGAAACACGTCTCTTTCTTCCTCTGCTGCAGACAATGTGCCTTAGCTGCCTTGAGAGACGTCAAATTGTACCTGTCGGAGGAAGGTGGCCAGATCGCAGTAAGTTCAGAGAGGGGCCGGCTAGTTGAAACGAGGCCTGTTTCAATCTTCTGAATGCTCCCCGGTCAGAGTGTGCTGAGAGAGACCCTCAGTGACCTGCATCCTGCGGCCCATGCTCTGCATGCTGGAACAGCACTCTGGGGAAGAGGCATCGTTACAGGAGGCCTTCCGCTCTTGTTCTCCATAATGGTCCCATCACCGCAGTATCCAAAACCTCACTGCCCCCTTACAAGTATTATACCTGCTGCTTGCAGGGGTGGAGTGGGCAGAGGAATTAAGTCACTTGCCCAGGTCTGCAAAGGAAGCTTTTTGGAGATTCAGGAGTTGAACCCACAACTTCAGTGCCTTAAGACCATCCTTCCTTTGCCAATTACCTGCTCCATTAAGTTTTTTGTTCCCTTCTGTTTTGCAAGTCTTTACTGCCATGCTTCGTTCTCCGATACAAAGGATTATAACTGAATGCTGCCTTAAGTGATGCATTTGTTACTTTCTTTTGTTGATTTGCTACCCCAGCAAATATATTGTCAGAACAAAACTCTCTCTCCTTCTCCCCTGGGAACTATTTAAATCCCCCTCCCCCAAGGTGACTGCCCTGGCATTTTTGTTATACAGGTTTTTGATGCTACCAATACAACAAGGGAGAGAAGAGGAATGATCATAAACTTTGCCAAAGAAAATGGATTCAAGGTCCGTATACATCAGACTTCTGGTTCTCTAAGGGTGCTATGTGGCATAGTAGCTGGGTATCTCTCAGGCCTCACAACACCCCTTTGAGGTGAGGAAATGCTGTTTTCAGATGGGGAGAATCAAAGACCGAGACTAACACCCAGGTCCTCAATGGTATTTTTAGTTGCCTCACTTGGGAGTTAGGTACCTACCTACATTTGAATATCTGGGCCCAAATGACTTGCCGAAGGTCGCAGGCTTCCTGTGTGGTGAAGCAGGGAATTGACCCTGGGTTTCCAGTAAGGATGTAAAATGTCACGTAAACTTCATGTGTAACTGGTTAACTAATGGCGGGGGGGGGGAGAGATACTCCAGCTCAGCTGGGCTGGAGCGACCCTCCTGCTGTGGCCGGGCTGCTCCGTGCCAGTGGCCCGCCTCTCCCAGGCCCACCAAAGACGGGGGCTGCTCTGGATGCTCAGAGCAGCCCCTGTCTGTGGCAGGAAGGGAGCTGCTCTAGCTCCCACTGGTGAGCCCAAGCTAGTGGAAACGAAGTGTCAGAATGTTTTCACACCACTCTTCTCTCCTCCCCTCTGCCCCCCCCCCCCCCCACCTCCTCTCCCCCCCCCCCCCCCCCCCCCCCCCCCCAAGATCTCCAAGCCAAGGGGAATAAAACAGATGAACTGTTGAGAGGGGGAGTTTTCATGTGGTGGGTTAGGAAATAGTTTTGAAACCCTTTTCTCATAATTGCATGGAGTGGTGAGTGCAGACACTGCGGCTGGATGTAATAAACTTCCTGTTTCACTGCCTATCTTCAACTGGCGTTTGCTTTGCCTTCCAGGTGTTCTTCATTGAATCTGTTTGCAATGACCCATCCGTGGTTGCCACTAATGTTATGGTGAGAATGGAAAGCTACTCTCTTTCTAAATCCTGTAGTTGCACTGATTGTATCTGACTTTACTTGATCTGCTTATTGTACTGTAGCTGTACTGGGGTAGCTGAGGATTTTTAGGATTTACCTGCCTCAGCGCAGGGAGTGAATAAAGACTGACATTTGAATACAGCCATCACTTGCAGTCTTCTCTGATCTCTCCCATGCCAATTCTTTCAATATATAGCTGTCACAGAACCATAGGATGTGTTCCGCACCCATCCTTTTGAACAGCCTCTCAGAGGAAACTCTTCAGTGTGCAAGACATCCCTCTCCCCACCCCCCAGAGTGCACTCTTCCTTCAGGGTAGTTCACGCTGCTTCACAGCCTCCTGGATTAAGATGCTGGCCTTCAGCACCTAAGCTCTGCTCAGCAAGTCCAGCTGAAGTAGACTCCTGGTAGGAGTAGGATTTATTAGTCAAGTGGTCGGCAGCATTGGAAGTCCTTAGGTGAGCCCCGAGAAATGAAGGTGAGCCCTGAGAAATGAAGGTTAAAGTGTAGTCCTTTCTGGTCAAGCCACGACTCACCAGCAAGAGTGAAGAACAGATGAGCTGTTCAGGATCTGACTCTGACTTCCTTTGCCCATTTCAGGCAAGAGAGCCCTGAGCTTCTTCCAGAAGCTGCCTCCTTTGTCCCCTATTGGCCACGCCTGTCCTTGGTTCTCCAATAAGGACCATGCTGTGTTCACAGCCCCTCCTCTTTTCCTGGCCCTAGCTTGCTGCTAGTGAGGTTCAGTGATTCATATCTTGAGCTCCCATTTTTTGTCTGGGCCGGTTGTTGATCTGGGCTGGCTTCAGCTAATTGATTGTCCCACCTATGTCATAAGCAGTGACTCCCTGGTTTAGTGTTGGCCTTTATTTCTTTCGTGAAAATAAGCTTTCCCTGCTAAGCTGTTACCTGGCACTATTCCAACCTCCAGTCTTATCTCTAAGATATATACCACTATTCTGAGAGCAAACATAACTCTTTTTTTTCCCCAGCACTCAGAAGCAAACCAAGGTAGGGGGGAAACTGAGGCGCACACATGCCTCATAACATATTATAAAATTTTCCCACTTTCTTACTTAATAAGAAGGGGCAGGGTTTTTTTCCCCAAAAGTGCTTAAGTGACCATTTAAAAATTACCTTGAAGCCTAAATCTCCGTGAAAGTCAAAGGGACTTAAGCGCCTAAGTCACTTTGTTGCTTTTTGAAAACTTAACTCAAGGTCTCCTATTAAACAGATGCACAAGAAAAGAATAACCAAGCCTCACTATGCACTTTTTTCCTAGCTGAGGTTGAATTATTGATGGCATGCAACTTCCTTCTTGAGAAGCTGTCTGCCCCACCTGCTCCTATGTCATAAGCAGTGACACCCCTACCCCCAGCTTTAGGGTTGGCCTTCAGCAGGGAAAGCGTATTTTCATAATAGAAATAAACTATTATCTGGCACTGTTCCAACCTCCAGTCTTATCTCCAGCTTATACACCACGTCATTTCCAAGTCATTGTACAGTACCTCAGATGCCGTTGGCTGAATGCCCTTTGTCCCTAGATGACGAGGTTTTATGGTCCCAGTTTGTCTTGGATCAGTGTCTGTCGTCACCACATGTGGGACTGATTCCTCTCTCACTTTTCCATAGAATTCCTTTAATGGTACCAGCTGCATACAGAGCTTTGAGTTCTATTCAGACAGATAAGGGAGCACTATCCTAACTCTTGATTTGGTTATTTCCCTTCTTGTCTCTATAGACAGCTTACACCTCACATGCTTCAAGAACATCAAAGTAGTTCATACATGAACAGGTGATTGGAGATAAAATTGGCACCAAAGGTGTATCTAGGTTTTTGCTTCACTGGACCTTACAAATTAACAGTGTGTTAGTGCTCAGATGCAGGGAAGGAAAATAAATTATAATTACACAAGATCCCCATACCGCAAACACTTCTGGACACACTTACTTTACTCGCACGAGTGTGGCATTGGGTTCCATGTTAATGCAGAGTGTTACTGACACATGTAAGCAATTGTGAGAGGCAATACTAAAACTTGGTGCTGCAAAATCAAGACCTTAGAGTACATGTTGAATATCATTGTGCCCTTTCAGCATGTCATCCAAGGATCTCAAAGCAATTCACAAATGCTAACTAATGAGGCTTATGGGAGGAAGTAAAAACATTATTACCTCCATTATCCAGATGGGGAAACTGAGGCCCAGAACATTTAAATTATGTATAATTCAGTAGCTATTCATGGCCCAGGACCCCCGTCTGCTATGTGCTGCACATCTATCTTGCCTAAGGTCCCTTGCTTTCCATTTTCCCATCAAACCATGGAGTTCTCAGTGGCTCTCCTTTCAGCCTTTGGATAATGTATTTTTTCGCTTGGTATGTTCAGCTGTATCATTGGGGAGCTCTGACTGTCCCTGGACTGACTTCTCTCTTCTTGATTCCAAAATATTTAGGCTAAATCACTGAGAAATACTTTAGCTAGATAACCTTTGATTCTGAATGGAAATGGTAACCCAAGATGTGCTCTGCAGCCATATGTTTACCTATCTTACACTTTTCATTTGATTCTTATTCTACTTGCTAACTGTAAGCGGCTCAGTCAGTGACTCTTGGAATAATTTTGACACCTGATAGCAGAACAACCTGTTTGTTCCGAGACCTATTGTGTTTGCCTTGCCCATTGACTGACTGACTTAAAGCTTTTGTCTGTACAGAAAGCGTTCTGATGACTCATTGGTTTGCTTTCTGTATTTATTGCTGCAGGAAGTTAAATTGTCCAGCCCGGATTATAGAGACTGTAACTCAACTGATGCCATGGAAGACTTTATGAAGAGAATCAATTGTTACCAGGCCAGTTACCAGCCGCTTGACCCAGATAACTATGACAAGTAAGGAGTTGCGCTGAGTTTTGAAATGGCTTGGCTTGGAGGGGTTTTGTCTTGGAAGAAAAGGGCAATGAAGTATAGATCTGTATTTGTTTCTATTTGATTAAGTGAATTTATTACAATAAAGGAATACTGCGCTCCAATCTCTCATATTAAACTCTACCCTCTTCTGGAGGACTGAGAGGGTGCATCTAGACTGCAAAGCTATTTGGGGATACCTAAGGTATCCCAAAATAGCTACCCCATGTCCAAGGAATGCGTCCACTATTTCAAAATAACTTTCAAAATAACAGACATGCTATTTCAGCATCCCTATAAACCTTGTTCCACGAGGAATAAGGGATTGTCTTGAAATAGTGCTTTATTTTGAAATTTGGTGCCGTGTAGATGCACCAAATTTCAAAATACTTATTGCAAATTGCGTATCTTATCTTATTTCTATTTTAGAATACAGTCTAGACGTACCCAGAGAGTCTGTACTTCTTGCATGTGATTTCTGGGCTGACCAGAAGCAGGATTTGCTGACTTCCTGAGTCTTTCCATCTGGTTTCCAGACCCAAAAGCTTTGGAGGAGCAGCTGAGCTTTGGGTGCTTCTCTGAATCTTTTGACATTGTTCCACCAAAGCTGTGTAACGTTGTGCCTTCTGGGTGGAAGCTGTCCCTTACCATGATAAACTCTCCAGCCAGAGCAGGTACACAGGTAGCCTTGGCCAGCCAAAGTGACTCTGGATAGATTTAGTTCTGGTCTGCAGTGCTGGAGTATTTATCTCTTCTATGTCTCCATTTGCAAACACTTGTTTTTTAACATAAGTGACTCCTGTACTCTCTGACTTTCCCTGTGCCTTCAGCGTTTTGGGGGTAATCGATCATTCAATGTGCTGTCAATCCCAGCTGTCCCAAGGTGCAAAAGCCACATGGGGGGGGGGGGGGGAAAGGGTTGCTCCCTTACCCTAGATCTCTCAAACAATGCAACGGAGGCTTAAGCTAGCTACCAGCGATGGGCCTGGAGTCAGAAAAATCTTACTTAATCTTTTTTTTAATGCAACAAAGAAAACAGAGATTACCTAGCCAGTCTCAATGTAACAGTGATTTCAAAGGGAGTCCATAGAGCGACCATGAAATAAACCCTGCAGCAAATCCTTTTAACATGGGGATTATATCCCTTGACAGTCTAGTCTCAAGAGCTGCCTTCCTTCCGTCATTGCTCCTTGCCTTGGTTTCTGCAGGGATTTGTCTCTGATCAAAGTGATTGATGTTGGCCGGAGGTTCCTGGTGAACAGGGTCCAGGATCACATCCAGAGCAGGATTGTCTATTACCTAATGAACATCCATGTCCAGCCACGCACCATTTATCTGTGTCGGCACGGAGAGAGTGACTTCAACCTCAAAGGGAAGATTGGAGGCGACTCGGGACTCTCGAACAGGGGCAAGAAGGTAGGGGAGCAATCCCCCTCTTATATTCGGGAAGGTGGGAGCAAGCGCTGTGTAATGTGCTGTTTGAGACGAGGCGTTTCCGATGCCACCTTTGTACTTAGTATCGGGCTGGATGCCTCTTCTGAAATGCTGCCAATTCAGTGCTGGCACCTAAAAGTGCTCCTCTGAAATCCGGGGTTAAGCAGGACCATCTAGACACCAACTGTAGTAAGATGAGGGCCTAAAACGTTACCAGACTGACACCACCAACCTCCTTTTATCTCCTTTAGTTTGCCAACTCATTGAACAAATTTGTGGAGGAGCAGAACCTGAAGGACCTCAAAGTCTGGACCAGCCAACTCAAGAGAACAATCCAAACAGCAGAAGCTCTCAAGCTGCCCTATGAGCAGTGGAAAGCGCTCAACGAAATTGATGCAGTAAGCATCTTCCCTGGATTACCAATTGCCAACAGTCAATCTGGGGGAGAGTGGAGAGGGCGCATTGGCCTTCTGTCTCTGCCCAAATGTCACCGTGGAGGCAAGGTTTGGCCACTCCAATCTGTTGTGACTTGGCTAGTTTGCCTGATTTTATCCAGGAGAGGCCTGGAGCTGTAATAGCTGGGGTGGGAAGAGGAAGGCCAGGGCTGAATTGGGGAAGCTGACTCCGTACCTAGCTCTGACAGTCATTGCTGATGTTGAGCTTTCACAAGCAGGGACGTCGAACCTCTCCAGAGACGTAAAGAGGCGATACTGTTTCCCGGCCTGGTTTTGTGAGCATATGTGGTACTGCCGTGACACTCGTTAATAGGTTTTGAGACGACAAGCTGGCTTAAAATTGCTGTCACCCACTACATGCCATGGCTGAAGTCTTAGGGGGCCAAGTGCAGTTTATTCCGTGTGCAGAAGGGTTTGCCGTATGGTTGCCTGGTACTTGCATTGATTGGCATCTGTCTGCTGCGCTTTAAATAACCTTGAGCGGGGTATCTTGTTCTTGCAGGGTGTATGCGAGGAGATGACTTACGAAGAGATCAAGGAGCAGCATCCAGAAGAATTTGCTTTACGCGATCAGGACAAGTACTATTACCGCTACCCTTCTGGAGAGGTATGTCTGCAGGGAAACTCTGGGATGTGACTGGTCTGAAATGCCACATATGTGCCTGTCCATATGTCCTTCCGCATTACATCCATCCTAAAAGGCAGGAGAGAGATGAGTCAGTCTAGGGTCTCTGAGTACCTCAAGCTAAATTGGTACCTAGATGTGAGTGCCAACCCCTTCTGGACTCTTGTCAAATTATTATGGGCCAGTTCTGACACCTTTGTCAAATTGATGGATGGTCCCATTGATTTCACCAAGACTGTTTGAGGCATAACGTGCTGCTTAATCTCAGTAAAGGTATCTGAATCTGGCCTTGGATTTAATGTAAAACAGCCTCTTTCATCTCAAAGGAGTTCTTTCCTCCTCTGCCCTCAGGCATCTATCTAGGGCTGATGGTAACATCTCTCCAGGGCTTCCTGCTGGCTTGAGGAGCGAGCTGATGTCATATTGTTAGGAGGGATGAAATAATGTGCTCCTTGAAAATAGAGGCATGTGAATTTCATAGTTAAGGCATATTCCAAATGGGTGTGGAATAGTGATGGGCCTAATATTGATGGTAGGGCTCAAATCCCGACCAGCTACTGCTCTTGTTTCTGCACAGAGGTGTTTCTGCACTCCAGGTCTCTGGAGTTTACGGCTCTTGTAGAAAAACAAGCTTCCGAAATCCATATCCTCTCAAACTCCAAGGAGCTGCTTAAACCTTGTGGATTTTAGATACAAAGTAGAATTCTGTCTCGTTTTTAGGGGGTCTTTCTCCTCCCACTAACCAAACAGAGACGTGACCTTGTATTTAGTGTTCTGCCACAAGATGTGGCCTGTTCATTTTAGAGGCCAGCTGAAATTCCTTTGAAGGGATTAATAATAGGACCTTTTCCTAAGAATTCACCAATTCAAATCCATGTTACCAGTGACTAAAAGTCAATTCCAAGTGAATGGTTGGCCCCCTTGCTGGCAGTCTCTGCAGGGAAGCCAAGGACTAGATGTTCCACTGAGATGTTCCAAAACCCCCTCCTGATTCATAAGGGGGTGGTCTGTATCATTCAAACAGCTTAGCAGCATGTGGGATCTCACACTGCCTCTGCCTCCTGTGTTCTGACTAAAGACCTCAGCCTGTAAGGCTGATTGAATTGGAAGCTGTCACCAGTACTAAATTCATTTTTGAGGGAGAGATGTCCATGGTTCAGAAGAGGAGGGGCACGAACACCAGGCAAACTTGCTGGCTCTGTGGTGGATCTCAGATGGTGGCGGTGAATCTTCTGTGCAGTAGGAGAGGAGGGTTGTGAATACGTCCAGTGTAGAAGAGCCCAGTAGGAGAAGGCAATGCCTCTTATTACAGACCCCATGTAATGCATTCATGGGTACAGCTCCAAACTCCAGGAACTTTTTGCGGGTTTCACTTGGTATAAAGCATAAACTCTGTAGATGGACCAAAATGGTGACTCCTTTTAAGTCGGTGAATTTATCTCTAGCTCTGTTTGTTTTGCAGTCCTACCAAGATCTGGTGCAGCGCCTGGAGCCAGTCATCATGGAGCTGGAGAGGCAGGAGAACGTCCTTGTGATCTGTCACCAGGCTGTGATGCGATGCCTCCTGGCTTATTTCCTAGACAAGAGCGCGGGTATGTGTCACTAGGCTGTCTCAGCAGGTTGCAACTGGGTCCCCTGCGATTTCTGACCGTCCTACACTGGGATTCAAGGGTGGGTGGATCGTGAAGTGGCCGGGTCACTGAGAGGGCAGGTCCTCCATCTGCTGCTGGTCCTCGCTCCAGCCTTTGGGCTATTGCAGTGTTATTCTTCTGAATATCTGTAGGACCTTTGGCATCTCCAAGTGACCACCTGGGCTAGCCTGAGGAGCTGGCTGTCAGTCTCTGTCTGATCCTACTGCTGATCTAAAAGATGGGAACTGTCGTCATTGCAGCTAGCCAGGGATATTGGGCCAGATGTAGAGTTGGGGTTTGGGTGGCGCCTTGTTTTGCCTGGGCTTCAGAAACCATGTACCTACGGGGAGGGTAGCTCCCACCAGCCTCTGGAGTTGAGTCTGTCCGTCCTCATGCAAACACACATGCAGAATGGACTCTTCCGCCTGTGCTGTCGCTAACCCTCCTTGTTTGCTGTTCCTGCAGCTGAAATGCCCTACCTGAAATGCCCCCTGCATACGGTGCTGAAGCTGACCCCTGTGGCCTATGGTAAGTAGAAGATTTTTCTGTGCCAGGGTGGCTAGCGGGTTTGGGGGATGTGTTTGCTGGTTAGTTACACCTGAGTTCAGGAGAGATTGTAGGCTCTCTTGGGAGGACAAGTGCACTCTCTAGGATGTTTGTGTGCTCGCTGCCTAGCGTGGTGGGTCCCTGGGGTGAGGCCTTTGGGATGGACCATAAAGCAACAAGGAACTGTAAATTGCTGACAGCTTCTCTGTTGATTTGCTCCTCCGTGCAGGCTGCCGAGTGGAATCCATCTGTCTGAACGTTGAGGCAGTGAACACCCACAGAGACCAGACAGAGGTGAGTGGCGTTTTGTTTCAGATCTTTCAGTCCATCTCTCTTCTTCCTTCTAACATTAGCTGGCAGCAAGGATGTCATGTAGGGCTGGGGTCAGGGAATTGGCTGGGCCCCATGACGAGTCATTTGAGAACTGGCTCTGGGAGTTGCAGGCAGATTAAGAGGCTTCCAAAATTAAAGTTTCTGACTGACTACTCCACCTGCCTCCAGGCATTTCCCCTAGATTCTAGCAGCCTGATCCCAAGCCCACTGAAGTAAATGGACAAACTGTCATTGGACTTTGGATCCGGCCTCCTGAAAGCCAATGAGCTAGAAGCAGGAGGAGGGTAGGAATGATTTCTGCAGTGCCGTAGTTAGGGACAGATCCATCAGGCCCAGGGCCTCGTTAAGCAGAAGGGAGAGAGTGGGTTGTGTGCCAGCAGAGGGAGGAAAAACATCAATCTCCTGTCGGGAGCAAGATTGATGCAGTGTCACTGCATAGTTTACAAGCCCACGGCATCAGCAGGTTTAAGCCCAGCCAGCACTTGAATGGGAGGCTCCAAGGAATGTGTCGGTGTTATGGGCAGTGGAGCTGGTGATTTCGGAGACAGCTCTGTGGTAGCCCTGAAGGCATGCTCCAACATGGTGCTGATGGAGCCCATTAAATTGTCCCTTTTTTCGGGTGGCTCTTTCTTCACTTCCTGTCCTACTCTGCACGTAGTGCGGCCAGAAGACTGCCTGCCATGCTTAGAGGTGGCTGGGTAGCTGGCAACAGGTGAAGCAGTTCAGATCAGGAGCCTTTGTCAGCTGCTGCATTGTAGCGATGGTTTCTGCAGCAATAACCAGATTAGGCTGTGGCGACCAAATCAGTCTGGACCAGTGCAAAATGCTCCAGTGATTCTGCTAAGTTGCTGCCTGGGTAGCTGTCACTCCCTTTCACACTGGCCTTGTGGGCAGTTCCAGGAAGCAGAACTTCCCATAGCATGAGCCCTTTGCAATGAAACTTCACTGACTGCTCTGTCTAATTGCTGAATCGCTCTCCCTCGCTGGGCTAGCTGCCTCCTGTGCTTCTTGCTTTTGTGCTCCCCTCTTGCCTGTTTCCTTGGGACAGAGAAAAAGATCTTGAGAAGGTGAGAGAAGAGCCTTCCTGTTTCTTATCAACTATCCCTGCAAGTCATGGCCTTTTTTCTGTGGGAGTAGAACCAGAAGGGTTGAAGTCTCAACTCAGAGCGTAGGGTTTTTCCCTTGGAAAGTGTCTCCAACATAAAGATCGGGAGCTTGCACTTGACGATCAGGGGCATCAGACATGCACCACGAAAGGAGAATGTTTTTTCAGGGGGAGAAACAGGAGAATTTAAAATGGCTTTTTTATTTCATAACTTTCGCCTTCTTCCTTTTTGTCTTTGTCTTGCTCTAATTTAGGAAGCAAAGAAGGGACCTAACCCGCTCATGAGACGTAATAGCGTTACCCCTCTAGCAAGCCCAGAACCCACCAAAAAACCTCGCATCAACAGCTTTGACGAGCATGTGGCTTCTTCTGCTGCTGCCCTGCCAGTCTGTATGCCCCAAGAGGTGCCCTCGCAGCTGCCTGGACAAGTCAGTTGAATTCTTCTTGTCTTTATTGATGTTCTCTTCTTGTTGCTTATTAATCTAGGGAACAGTCTTTGATTATTTTAATTATGCTGCTGTCTCTGAGCTAAATGTAAATAGTTTACCGCCAATGCATTCCCTTCTATTAAAAGCACCTAAATTAACTAGCTGTTCCATCTCTTGCTTATTGAGACCCTTGGAAGCCCAGGAAAATCCAAATCCAGACTGAACCGAGCCACTGTTGTGTGGCTGAAATTTACAGTTTCTCTCTAGCCTTGTTCTATTGTCTCTGAACTTAGCTACTGCACAAGTTTCTAAATAGAGCAAACGAGCACCATGCACCTTTCTCACTCCAGATCATTTGTTGCTATCTGCACTTCTACCCCTCTGGAATCTGGCTGTCCCTCATTAGATTGGGGTTTAACTCCAAATGTTGCAATAAGGGAATTTATTCTTGCAGTTTAATCTTAATGATCGCTTAGGAGCCAAGATTCCTTCCAGCCCTGCTTCCCTTCCCATTGCGATACCAAAACCCCAGCCTAGCTAGGGGTGAGGGTGCTAGACTAGAACCTGTGTTGCCTTTTTGAAGAGCAGCTCTAATGTCCAGCTGTCATGGAGATGATAAACTGGCTCTGACTATAATGGCCACAAGTAGATTTGCAGACTGGCAGGAACCATCCCATGGAGACTCCTGGACTTTCTTGATCTACCCTTTAGAGAGGGAGGGAGCTTCTCCAGGGACACTGCTTAGTGCTTCTTTCTCCTGCCCATTCTGATATTTAATACGGTAGTGAAACTCCTTCCACCCAGTCTGTTCCCTGCTCGTTAAAAGCTTCGGGGTTCTGGCTAGACCTCCCCTTAAGTGACCATGGAGGGGTCAGGCTTCAGAAGCCACCTCAGTTATAGATTAACTCTGCCCCCAATAGGGCTAATGAGCCTGCTGCATGATCTGTCTGTTCTTCTTGTGCCCTGAAGTCCATGTTAATTCCTTCTTGCCCTCTCCACTGCCAGTCCCAAAAGCAGCCTTCGGAAAGAGGGTGTTGCTCTGGGATGAACTGCTGGAGGCTCTGGCTGGTGGCTGCTTTGCATTAACATCTGGTTATCAATTAGCACAAATAGGGATGGTTAAGGATATCTGGGTTTTGGGGTCCCTCATGTTAGCACTTCTTCCAGTCAACCCTCTGCCCACATTCAGTCTGGAATTGCTCTTTGGGTGGTTGCCTCTTGCTGATTTCAATTGACTCCCTTCCTTGTGTGCGCTCTGTGACTGACGCTTCTCTTTCCATTCTCTGTCTCCTTGCAGCCTTTACTAGGGAAGGCGTGTCTGTAAGTATCTTCTTGTGCGTGTTCCCTTTCTGTGTCTCCCGCCGTCCAGCTGACTGGCTTGTTTTGTTGGTGCTGCTGTGAAACTAGACCGAGTTCTGGATTTGAGTTCTGTGGCTCCCGTCTCCTTCCCAAGTGGAATTCATGCATCTTTGTAGGGGGAAGATATGGGGGGCATCAAACACTGAAGTGCCCTGGATTTCCCCAGTGCTACTGCTCTCTCCAGTCCCTCTTCAGTTGGGAAGGAATCCGTAGCATGTCCCCACCTTCTAGTCTCCCTGCCTGCTCCCTTTCCCGCTATTTGGTCAAGGACTTTAGACTCTAAGGTTTCTCATCCATGCTGGTAGCCTCCAATCTGGTTTGTTCTTCCTTCGGGACTGGCTGCAGATTTGGCTTCCCATAGGCTATGACACTCCTGCTTGTGTAGATGACTTAACAGCTGATAGTTTTGCAGTGTCCTCTGGTGCAGATATCAACCTCCACCCACCAACCCACATCTAGTTCATGCTGCTCCCTGCTGGCCAGGGATGGCTCGTATCCTGAGCTCCTGGAGAGGCTTCCACACACACATTTTTTGCACCAGGCGAGCCTCCTAAGGAGAGTCCTGCTTCAGGTTGCTCCCCTTCTCCTGGAAGGATTTATCTCTAGCCTCCAGGGAGGCGGTTCAGACGTGCATTGAGACCTGCCAGGTCTCAGTATCTATCTTCCTGCAATACTGACAAGCAAGTCGGGATTCAAGGATTCTTGGGAATAGTGTATCCCTGATGGCTTGGGAATAGTAAGCAGGCGACACCTCCAGCTACGGCCAAGAATATGATTCTTGCCTCTATTGTATCTGAGCTCTGCATGAATACCCCTAATTCCGGCTGCTTTTATACTCCTCTACACTGCGTAGGCTTTTACAGATCAGTTGCAGAGTAACAGAATGTGAAAGGGAGTCTAGCTGGCACACAATGGGGTTCTGTAGTCTGCTAGGAGACAGGCACAGCATAATGGTGAGAAGTTCATCTTACACGCTGGATCAGCCTGAGTCATAGTCGATGTGCATCTCTGTCCTTGTTCATTTCAAGATGCCGCAGAGGCAGAACTCAGTAACGCTTGAACACCCTGACAAAGCTCATTAATTCTCACCTCCCTCCCATTTTGTGATCGTGTAGCTGGAATATCAGATCGAACAGCCTCTGTGGTGGTGGGCTAAGGAGTGGGTCATGTTAGCAAACTCAAACACGTTGTGCAATCCCTTGCCAGATTCTTGTTTGTGGGGTGCTCAGCTCTTGTATGTTCCAGGACCAATGCCGGCTTGTCTTGATTTGTGATTAATTTGTTTGGCGTGGCATGCACAGCTGCTTTTCTGTCTCCTTGCTGCTTGTCAGGATGATCCTTAATAGTGTCTGCGTTGTAATCAAAAGGCACTGGATGGCTTGATACCGACACTGAAAATGCCCCCTCCGAAGCAGAGACCCAAAACCTTTTGGGGACAACGTCTCCGTTTGCCTGGTCAAGCACTCCACCGAATCAGTCCACGCCCCCAACCGGTGCTTTCTAGCAGACGAATGCTTAGGGCAGACCAGACTCCAGGATGGCCGGGAGCTGGACTGGCTGGTGGCACCTTCCTGCTTAGCTCGTTTAAGGCAGAGACGAGGAGCCTAAGGCACAAGGGCCAAATTCAGAGGAGGTGTGTAACATGCGAATTCTCCCAGTCCCCTGACTAGGTTAACCCATCTTAGACTGACTTACATGTTTACCACCATACACCCTCCTCCCTTGATCCATCAAAGTGGCTTCCTTCTCAGCTAGGAGAGAAGGCAACTTGGACCAATCCTAGGCCGATTTGGGGATACACATTATGTGCCTATCCTGTGTACGTGGGTGTAAATAGATCTAGGCTAGCATTGATGGCAGGTGCTCTGCTGATGTAAATGTGTCATAGCACCGTTGAAGTGAATGGAACTTCGATCGCTTACACCAGTGGAGGGTCTCAGAGTGTCTAACGTCCCATCCCAGTGCCGGGAGCCCCCATCCTCCTACAAATTGGAGATTTTGTTGTGAATGGGATTGTCTGCAAGAGAGTGAGTAACCTAGAAAGCAGGCAAAAAATCCGATCAGACAATAGCCTACTACCTTTATGGGGCAGGGACTATAGCAAGTGTCCAGCACTGTAGGCTCAAGGCACTGGGGGGAAGCAAGCGGGAAGGATGTCTGCTGCCTTTTTGACTATGACATTGCATGTGGGAGTGTGTGGGTGAGGTCTCTTTTTTTATTATTTGTTCCTGAATGAACTTTTATTAAATCAAATTTAAAGTCTCTTCCCCTCCTCTCTTTCCCCTTCACTTTTCATGCTTAAAGAAGAACTGTGTATCACTTCCTTAAAGTTTTCTCTTTACTAATATTTCCAAGGTAAATGGCTCAGTGCATGCTCTGGCTTCCCTAACCTGACCCTGTCTCTTTGGATAGCAGTGAGATGATCTCAACTCACTTCTGCAACTCAGCCAGGACTGAGATTTCTGGTCCCATCCCCCTTTTCCCTTCCCTGGGATGGTGTGATTGGAAAACTTGCCAATTGCAACAAACCTGCCGATCCCACATTGAATGGGGGCTGCTCAGTATTGTGACCCCCGCAGAGGGAGTCGGTCCTGCACTGAGACTCGTGTGTGTTCAGCTGTTGAGCCCGGCATCCTTGTCTCCTCATGGGTGTGGATTAGAAAATGCTGCTCTAGGTGACCCTGGTGTTTGCTGGATGTCTGTCCGTCCTGGGGCAAGTGAGAAGGCTGGAGAGCTTAGCCCCCAGTGAGGCAGGTTGCAGAAAGCTGCGCTCCCTGGTTCATGTGAAGCAAGCCAGTGTGCCAGTCTCCGACAGCCATCAGGCAGGGTAGCCCTTAGACTAGGTCTGCTGAAATAAGAGTTGTGGTTCAGCTTTACTAGGGCAAAGTATTGAGGTTTCAAGTATGTGCTGGGAGGCCTGTGGAAAGGAAAAACCTAGGGGCCTGGGTGTCCCCTCTCTTGAGCCTTGTGTATTAGTGTATGCCTGGGCAAAGTGAGCTTATCTGGTGGCCTTTCACATCCCTGCTGCACTGATGTTGGTCACTCTTCAGTACAGAATCCAGGGCGTCATCCCTGCCCTGAGGCACTTACTGTTTAAGCGAGGAACCAGGAACACAAAGGGTAGAGGGTGACAGGCAGGAAGCATGCTGCTAAAAAATCTCCTCTGTTGCTTTTTGGTTTTGAATCACGGCTGTTCCCTCAGCAGGGATTGCCTGACTTGTCTCCTGTGTAGGTGCTTTTGCAGCGATCCTGCCCCTGGTCTGTGTTCACCTTCCTTTCCCCATGTCCCATCTGCATGTACAAGATGCCTCTGTTTCTTGCTGCTTGGTTTCCGAGTGGCAGAGTAAATCCAACCCTTGTTTTGCTTCTTTCTTTGCAAGAACATGAGCAGCTCCCAGAAGCAATCCTGATTTCTTCCGGGCCATTGGTAGCCTGCAGGCAACGCCGACTCCATCCCATCATCATTTCTGAAGCTTGCTTGTATCGTACTCCTCCATTTGACTCGAGGTTGACCCTTGGCTGCTTCTACCCTAGCTGTTCATCTGCAGGCTGGACTGTATTGAGTCGGGGTGAGAGAGAGAGAAGAGTTCATCGACCTGGACAAAGTGGATTTAACAACAGATCCTGCAGCCATCTTGTTGTGTCCTCCTGGGTGTTCGATATTGCATAGCAAGCTGTAAAGTGCTTCTAGCGCACGGAGTTTCCTGGACTTTTGTTTTTGTTTCAAAGTGACGTGACCTTGCAGGAAATAGCTGGGACTTCCCCATCTCCTCTGGTTTGTGTATATATGTGGAGGAGGCAGGATTATCCGAGACATACAAAGGGGAGGGGTGTTTTGGGTTTTTTTTCCAACTCCTCCGTGCATCGGGCTGCTCTCCATATTGGTATCAGTGTTGGTCTGAGACATGCAGGCATCCTGTCACCTAACCACGGAGGCAGTCAGGTGACCTACGGAAGCAGTCAGGTGACCTCCCTGGCTTTTCAGGCAGAACCCTGCTGCTGGTTTCAATACGACGATTCTATTGCTCTGTAAATATCAAGGGAGCTGCAATGTGTATAAACTGCCTTTAGCCCAGACCTGAGATGCAGCAGCTTTGGGGATGGTGGGAGATGGTTTGAGCCACTTGCTGACCTGACGTGGCAGCAGGCCTTGGACTGAAGGGAAACCCCATGTTGTTTTGAGCGAGATGGGGGGAAGGGAGGACCACAGGAATCTGAGATTCAAGAGAAACCTGCTGTCTTTGATTACAAGGAAATCTAGTCTCCTCACCCTCCATTTTCCCCCCTGCGCAGGATTTACTGTTCTGCAATGGGTGGTTAGGCTAGGTGGGTTTGACTGACACAGCCTTCTTGGGATGCATCAAGGTCAGTCCATGAAGAGCAAATTTGTGTCAGCGAAAATCCATTATCTGAGGCATTTAAGCAATCGTTTCTTCTTTATAAATCGCTTGTTTTTGCACTTTACTTGTGGCAAGGGTGTGACTCCCCTCCCACCTCGCTCCAAAATCCTGCTGCTTCTAGATGAAGCCTAGATACCTGGAGGCTGAACTGCATGACTGGAGAGATTAAGGGTGCTGAGCAGTGGGTAGTTACAGTATTAACAGTGGGGAGGGGAAAGGTGGGGATGTGAGGTACTAATTTATGGACTAGCTGTAGGGACTGGCCAACTTCCAGTTCTGTGTGAGAATCTCTTCTTGACTGTCTGTTCTGTGCTTGGGTTTAAACCCGAGACTAACCACTACTGTGTCATGTGTGCAGAAGTCTGTGTGTATGTATGTGTGCACTTGTATTATCCTTGTACAGCATTTCCTCCAGCCCAGCCTTGCTCTGGAAGTGGGGCAAGGCGGAGACAAATATTGAAGTAGCCTCTCGTTTTTCCTTGGCCTGCCAAGCGCTAGATCTTGGCTAGTCCACATTCGACCCCACCACACGCCCTCTCCGGTGCGCAAGCACGGAGCCAAAAATCAGAGTGGAGCTCAAGCAATACATTATCATCTTAAGGGTTTAAAGTGCAACTGAGTCGTATGCTGAAAGGATGCACCGTACAGTCCACTAACAAAGCGGGCGGAGGCTCTGAGCTGTCAGCATTGTGCTGGGGCTCCCTCTGCTCTTGTTCGTTTCATTCGTTCTTGCTTCAGGGAACGGTTAGTAGGTGAGGTTCCTGCCGATGGGAACAGAAAGGCTCTGGTGGAATGTGGTTACTTTGCTCTGGGAAGGTGAACCGCAGTGCCTAGTGCTCTAGTCTTGCACAGTGTAAACGCTTTGTACATTTGTATGTTGTAGAGCAGCACCAGGGAGGGGGCCGGTAGCGGTGCACTCAGCCCGTATCTGACCATTGAAGATATTTTTATTGGTGACCTGCCAATGTGAGGTTTGTTTATAGACAGCTATTCTTGTACAGAAATGGAAGAAATTGTTTTTGAATAGCTGTGATAAAAGCAGAGTTGTGTTTTGCCTGTGTGTTTTTATGTCTGCTGTTTAGATTTAGGGAGACGAATTTTTAGAGAGAGTGACATATCTTTCGAACTGCTTCCCGAGGAGTTTAACTTTCTCCCCCTGCTACGGAAAGATAACACAGCATATGTAAACATTAGGGCCCGTGATCCATTTGACACACACCTAAACTTCAAAACAAATTTTATCTTCTGTTCTGAAACTGGTGGAATATCACTTCAAGCCAGTCCCCAGGTACAAAGGGGTGGTGGCTTGGAGGAGGCATGGAAAGGGGCTTCTTGGGATTGGTTCTCTGTCATCATGTTCCCCTGGAGAGCTGACATCAACCCTCCTGTGTCTGCAAACAGCAACTATTGGGCATGGGCTGTGCCATTGTAATGCAGCGTGGGTGGGCAAAAGGGGCAAACTGAACCACACCAATGACTTTTCATTTGGTTTTTTTTTGTGATACTTGAATTTATTTTTTTATAATTTTGATAGCAGAGTGCTGTTTATTTATTTAATATATCCTGCCGAGCTTGGAGAGAAGGGTAGGGCTTTGGGGGTCTGTTTTGTTCTGACTTGTGATATGTTGCTTGTATTCTGTATATATGAGTCTGGAATAATTGCCTGAGATGAAAGCTGTGCCAGCTTAAGAACAGGGTATGCCTTTCAGAAATTTGTATATTTTGCAGTTGCTGGACCAATAAAATACCTTGTTGAAATATACACGGGGCCTGGTCGTCGTCGTCTTTGGTTTTCCTCCTGGGCCTAACCTGATGACAAGCACTCCTTCAGTACAGATAGGCTATGTCTACCCTACAAGGTTTTTGCGCAAAAACCAGTGGAGCATGCACACCTCAAGTGCATTTTTGTGCAAGAAATTCAACAGAACAGAAGGCTTTTGCTGGTAGTTATTCCTCTCCCCACAAGGAATGATTCCTTTTTGTGCTACAGCTCTTGCACAGAAAGGCAGGTGTGGATGCACCGGCGGGGTTTTTGCGCAAGAAACCCCTATTGGAAAAAGCACAGGTGCTCTGATGGCTATTCTGTGGATGAAATCAGAGCTTTCTTGTGCAAGAGTGTCCATGCAGTGTGGACGCTCTCTTGCGCAGAAGCCCATTGCTTTTGCTATGCGCTTTGAGGTCTGGATACACTTTAGCACAAGAAGCTTTTGCTCAAGAACTCTTCCGCAAAAGGCTTCTTGCGCAAAAACCCTGCCGTGTAGACTAAGCTGTAATGTTTGACTCCCAGTGCATGGATCGATCATCTCTATGCCTTACAAAGTATGGCCGTATTTTTTTATTTTTTTTCTTCAGAGAGCTGCACGATGGGTGACCCATACAATGCCCCATTGCAGTTAGCAAGTTGTACACTGGCACAGCAGCGTGATTAAGAACACAACAGCTGCCATACAGGGTCAGACCAAAGGTCCATCTAACCCAGAGTCCTATCTTCAAACAGTGGCAAGTGTCAGGTGCTTTAGAGGAATTGAGCAGAACTGGGAATCATCAAGTGATCTCTCTCCTGTCATCCATTCCCAGTATTTCTATCTAACTTTTTTTAACCCTGTTAAAGTCCTGGTTTTCACTGCCTCCTCTGGCCAGTTCCACAGGCTGCCTGTGTGCTGAGGGAAGAAATACTTCCTTTTGTGTTAAACCTGCTACCTGTTCATTTCATGTGGTGACCCTCAGTTCTGACTGTCACTGAGGATATGCCTACTCAGCAAAGAAAAACCCGTAGCTGGCCCGTGCCAGCCTTAGGTGGCAGGGCTGTTTCATTGCTGTGTCGCTCTTTTGGGTGCGAGGGTCCCAGAGAATGGAACAGCCCTGCAACGTGCATGACTTATGAGCCCAAATAGGTGGCGTGGGCAAAGCACTTTGTTGTGTAGACAGGCTGACCCTGCCACTTCTGTGCGGCAAAATGGTGGAGGTAGCGGACACAGCCGGGGGCAAATCCCGCTCACGTGGAAAACTACGCTGGAATCCTTAACCTCCATGCTGCTCAAAGAGGTGGATCCAGACCGATCTGGGACACTGATTAAGACCTAAACATTTGGAACTTCCAGTGAAGTTGAAAGCTACCAATGCGCAGCCCCCTTGGAAATTGGCCCACTTTTTTTTATTGATAGGTGGCAGCATAATAGAAACGCCCTGTCAAATGAACAGAAGTGGTGGTGTTAGGGAGTTGCCACTGGTGTGCTTGGTGCTTTGAGCGGGAAGAATACAGAGCCCTACCCCTAAAAATACCAGGGGCGAGACAAGAATTTTGGTTCTTAATGAAAACTCCCTGGGTTTTGGTGTAACCCCCTGATCATACAGCCAGGGCCCTAGTCACAGACTATTTGTGTTTACGCCTTAAGCCAACCTCACTCTCTTCCTCTCCCCTCCCCTCCCCAATGTGTGTTAGCCATAACACATGAGCATGTTGCCTCCCCTGTTTATCAGACAAGTAGGAGCTGAGCAGCAAGTCCTGATAGCATTGGCCTCGCTCTGCTTACCCAGATAAGAAGCTTGCTTGCAGAAGCGTAACTCGGATCAGGGTATTTTCAAGGCTATCAGGAAATTGCTGCTGCCTTGAAGTCTCTAGTCCTCGGATATCCCGTGTTACACAGGTCACCACCCATCATGCATGTTAAGGGTCTCGAGACACATCGATACTCAGTGTCTGTGTCAATGCGATTATTCCAATGATGCCCAACTCCTGAGTATCTATTCTGCACTGATTAGGCCTCCATGGGAGTATTGTGTCCAGTTCTGGGCACCACATTTCAGGGATTATGTGGAGAAATTGGAGAAGTTCCAGAGAAGAGCAACACAAGTGATGAAAGGTCTAGAATACATGACTTACGATTGTCTCCTGCCATCCCTCTCCAGCCTCTGACAAACAGAGGCTATTTTATCCCCTGGCTAATAGCCTTTTATGGACCTAACCTCCATGAAATTATCTAACTTCTCTTTAAACTCTATTATAGTTCTAGCCTTCACAGCCTCCTCTGGCAAGGAGTTCCACAGGTTAACTACATGCTGTGTGAAGAACAACTTTCTTTTATTAGTTTTAAACCTGCTACCCATTAATTTCATTTGGTGTCCTCTAGTTCTTCTATTTAGGGAACTAATAAATAACTTTTCTTTATCGGCCCTCTCCACACCACTCATGATTTTATATACCTCTATCATATCCCCCTCTCAGTCTCCTCTTTTCTAAACTGAAAAGTCCCAGTCACTTTAACCTCTCCTCATATGGGACCCGTTCCAAACCCCTAATCATTTTAGTTGCCCTTTCAAAAGAACCGTGTCTAGACTGCGGTTTCACTTTCGAAATTGTGCTTTTTTTGTCAGAGCGCCATGATGCGAATATGCAAATGAAGTGCAGGAAATTCAAATCCCGGTTTCATTTGCAATTTTGAAGTGTCCAATAATGGTTGGACTATTGCTCCAGTATTTGCTCTTCTTTCCAGGACCAGTCCTAACTGTTAATTGGGTGCGGGCAGGAAGCGGAAGAGGCGTGATCACAGCGGACTGGACTGAATATTGTTGGAAATACTGGGGAGGTCCTTGCCCCCCTTTGTTCAGAACAATCGTCTCATAGGAGCCCTCTTACAAAGATGCTTTGCGCTGGCCTCGGAGTCCTGTGCTCCTGCACCGTGGGGAGCATTGAGCACCTGGGTGTGTTTACAAAGCATCCAACCCCTCTCCTCCTACGTGCGTCTTTATGCCATAACATTTTGTACCTCTGCAACGAGGAGACGTGCCCCCAGGCAGGGCAGATTTAAAGGTTAGTGGTGGGTGTTACAGAGAACAACAAGGAGTTATTTAATGTGCACAAAGGGGATATAATTGGAAATTAAGAAAAGGCCAATGTATTTATTTATGTAGTGATAGCCCCTAGCGACTGTTGGGACTGCAGAGTATTAGACGCTAAACAGAAAGACTGTTCGTGCCCCGAGGAGTTTGCAGTCTACGTGTAAGACAAGCAACAACAGCTGGATGCACACAGACTGGAGACCAAAGGCAAAGCCTGAACAGCAATTTAAAAACTCTTCAGGCATGAACTCTCTTTGGGCTGTAAACCAGCTTCCCCAGGGGCTGGCTGAAGACCCATGAGTAGGATGAAGCCATAGAAAATTAACTGGTAGGCACAGTCTTGCTTTGGCCCAATGGAATGGGCTGGAAAATCTAGTAGAGCCTTTCCCAGTCTCTAATGTCCATGATCCTTTACATAGGGATGATCCCAGGAAGAGCTATGTCAATGTAACGCTGAGAGGCAGAACTGAATCTGGGACCGCTGGAGTTTAGTGCATGAGCCTCTATGGCTTGAGCTAAAAAACCAGCCATCTCTCAGCTAAGGCTGCAGAACAAACTCATTCTCTGTCTCTGTACATGGTCTCAGTGTGACCACATGGGACAGTGAACCCCACCCAACAGGTATGGGGGTTACATAAACATAATCAGCTCTTCCTGGAAGCCTCACACTGCTGCGGTGCATTGTCAGTCCCTGAACTAGTGGACAATAAAATATATCAGCAACTTTGTTTTCCCTTGTGCAGTTGAGGATCTGGTCCACTGAGTGCCACAGATCAGTGGCCACTTAAGGAGTCACGTTTTTTCTTAAGCTGCTTGTTTGACCAGTCAGAACTTCCTGGCAGCAGGACTAGCACTCAAGCCTCGCGCCGGAAACACAGCCATCTAGCATTGCGATGTCATTGTGGCAGGTGCTGAGAGAGTTGAAGGAGACTCTCCATCAGCTGTTGGCACTAAGTGGCCTATGACACAGTTGAGCAGTGATAATGCTGGCTAGTAGAGGAACTGCCACAAATGCACAATAAAATTATGATTTTATTCCTAAACTGGGGACTGATTCTGCAGACTTAAACCAAGTACCACCGACATCTACGGTTACACTACAGATAGAAACTCTAAAATCCGGTACTCTCTGGTCTGGGAACATCCATGGTCTGGCAGAGCCAGGGATGTTGCTGGACAAGAGAGTTCACTTGGGAGTGGGGGTGGTCAGGGTCAGAAGTGCAGCCCAGCTGGGACTGGCAGCAGCGGGGCCGGTGCGGTTGGGAGCACAGTCCCCGTTGGGGCTGGGAGCGGAGCCTGGTGGCAGCTGGAATAGGAGCCCTGATCTCCCCTGGTCCAGCAAACTTCCTGGTTTGGGATCACTCAGGTCCCATGTGTGTCAGACCAGGGAGGTCCAACCTGTACAGGCTGGATCCATGCTCTGAGTTAAGATCCATGCTACAGGGCTAATTGTTGGTTTTTTTAAAAAAGTTACAAACTAACACGGTTACCCCTCTGAGACTTTCAAATCGAGCACAGATCACTCTCCTGTCGATCCTGCTACTCTACCCCCGAAGGAGAGGAGTAAGGGAAGTCTCTCCCCTAACCGCTACCTCCTGCAGCGTCACGCCCATGGTAACTCGACGTAAGGTCCGTCTGCCCCAGCTCCGTCATTCATGGAGCGGGCATTGCGTAGCTTGCCGTGACTTTCTGGAGGGGTGTAGTTATAGGCATAGCACACATGGGAAATGCCTGAGCTGGGAGGGGGAGATTTTATTGCTCGCAGGATCCCAGCCAGTTTCTGGGCTGGAGGAAATGTGTGCCTTGAAGGCCCCATTGCTGATGCTGAATTCCCTTGCCTCCAGGCCTCACAACAAACAGGCTGGGTGAGGAGAGACAAGCAAAACAAACCAGCACCTCCTGAGCTGTGAACTCCCCCTGCCT